CACCAATACCATGTGTGACTGAACTACACGGTGCACTGGCAAAACTGTCAGATCTTTGCGTTTGACGCAAAAGAACTTTGTGCTCCTTTTGATTACTGGACAAAAAGCTGTAATTTCTGCCTTTATCAATATCTGTCACTTTGAGGCAATTTTTGTTTTTGCTTTTGAACTGCCTTCTTGTTCAGCATCAGTCGAGCCTTTCTTTCATATCTGGATAAATGGAGTATTTTAAACGACTGTTTCCATTTCTTTTACTTGCTGCAGTTGGGTGGCAGTCACATCCCGATAACTTGATGTACGTACATGGATCTGGAATGGAGTGTTATGACTCAGTTTCTGCTGTGTTGCCATTGTGGCTGAGACACCTTACCTATTTTTACTGTGTTTAGAGTTTCAACTGGATCTGGAGCTTTGGTGAGGAAAGCAGAGGGTGTCTGTTTCCCACCCCTTGAAAATGTGCCGTGGTTGATGCAGCGTTAGGCAGGTGGAAAGCAGCAGGCTGTGTTTTGTCAAGTTAACAGCATACCTAATATAACTTATCATTCTCTGCACATGTGACAGGTTTTTAATAAGGTGATGATGTACCAAACAGGATTTGTCACTGAGCCTTAAAATGAACATCATAACTCTTATTATAAGAAGTGCTAAGTAAATAGCAGGATTTATTTCCTACCTGTATCATTTTACCAATATATCTGTTTGTGAAAACAGCTGGGAGCTTTGGTTCGATTTTGGGGAGCTATTTTGCCAACTTGCTAACAGCAGGTGACGTCTCTGCTGCTGAGATGTTATCTGTTTTGGGGTAACTTTAATGGTATTAGCAGAAGTGTGGAAGTGCAGCAGCTCTCTTAGAGCCAGGCATGGTGTAGGTGTGCATTGTGTAAGCTTAATTGTATAGCTGCAACACCACATCTTAATCTGAATCAACATCATCTGCTCACCATCCCTATTCCATGGCTCCCGCATCCCGAAGCCTGTCTTTCCATCAGCTGTAGTCTTACACTGCAGGCATTGGAGACATTGGGGGGGAGGGGGGTGGTGGGATGGGACACACATTTCTAGTTCACACCCTGACCAGAATTTGAAGAGTCTTCTGGAAGCGAATACCTGTGGGACTGTCGGACCATCTTCCTCCTCTGTGGACACTCTAGTATGCTGAGAAAGTTACCGTTATCGTAAGGAGACATCTTGTGTTGCTGCAGGTGATCACGGAGCGTAGCCTTGGACTGCAAGTTGTAGTGGTGAAAAACAAACTAAGGAAGAATGAGGACAGTGAGCAGTCAGGGTGGGAAGGAAAAAATTTAAGTGTGGTTATTGACTAGGGAGATGGGTTACACAAACTGACCCTGATTCAGGGCAGTGCTTCAGCATGGAAGTTGTCAAAACTTGATCTCAGGCTCTTGCTCCGCTCTTTCATGCTGATCTTGGATCTCCAGGAGGGGATGTATGAGGTTTGTACAACTCCTTTCTGTCAGAGTTCCTGCCCTTTTAACTTATTTCTGTTTTTGACAGTCCTGACTGTGGGCGTCTAGCCCTCTGCTCAAATTTAACTGCTACACTGAAGGTATTTTGTTTTAAGGCTGCTTCTTCCTTAGTTTATTTTATTGAAATGGAAGTCTTTATTGCCTTAGTTGATCCCCATAAAATGTAGATCTGTCTCCTCTAACAAAGTACGTGAATATCGTATCCTGTTTTTTCAAGCAGGCTGTTCTGTAATGGCCTGTGCCATTCACAGGACTGGAAATCATAAAAATGCAGTGCCTTATTGTGCACTCAGGGAAGCAGTCCATTTTTTCATCCTAGAAGGATGCTCTCAAAATGTGTCGTGACGAGGATGAGGCACGTGGAGATCAAGAGTACAGACATCAGCTGTAGAAATGAAGATTTCCTGCCGCTGGTTGGAAAAATAGAGACGGGTTACTCAAGGAGATGGACAAGGTCTTGCTTAAATTCTAAGAGAAAATTGGCTTTTCTGTCTGCTATTGGCCTGTCTAACATCAGTCTTTTGAACAATTCAAACCCTCAGCGAACAGAAATGGCTTTGCTGCAAGTACAAAAAGATTTAATCCTCATTATGAACAGCGTTTAAAGTAAATTTCAGGAATGGTTTTAACTCCCGGTACAGTCATTTTAAAGAAAGGTGAACCTTCTGCCAAAAATAGACTTTTATGGAGGGCCAAATTGGAGTTGGCTGTTGACTCATGTTTAGTGTGGGGTTTTTTTATTGCGCTGAAAAACGGACTGTGATGTTGATCGAGTGCAAAATGAAGAAGATTCCCGCCCCCAGCCATTGGATGTTCGAATGGACGGGAAGGCAGATCAGCGAACCTGCTTCCCGTGGCTTTTTGCCATCACACTCCCTGGAAGCTTTCGAAAGAGGCTTTTTGCTGGGAGGAATGCTAATAAAAGAAATTGTCTTTTTTTTTTTTTTAGCTTATCTGCTTTGTCTAGCATTTTGTAAAGGGACAAAGTGATGTAGCAACAGAAGTCTTGATTGATTGTAATTTTTCGTACATTCATGGGCCACTTATGAAAATAAAGCCTAGAACAGCAAGAAATTGCTATGACCCTTGTGAATAACTGAGGTCCTTCCTCTGTTAGCAAAAGGAAGATTAAAACACCTTTTGGGTTCTTGTTCCACAGAAGTAAATAGCAAATGGTTAAGAAAATCTGAATCTAAATCAAGAAAATCTATAACTAAAAGCTTAATATATTTTAAAATGTTCAGAAAACAAAAGAATGAGCGTTTCCATTTTTCTAGGATTTATTGAAAACCTATTGTCACTGGAAATTCACATTTCATTCCGTTAAAAAAATCCCACTCTTTTTAATGTTATGCTGAATTTGGGAAACGCCTTTAACATTTAACATCAGCTCATACTTTTGGGTGCCAAAACATCTTGTGATGCTTTAAGTACCTGTCTCTTTACAGTGGGGTGACTGCTGGTGTTTAGATTCCTCCTCTTTATGCAAAAATGCTTGTCTGTGAAATATTACTGGTTTCAGTTTAGTTAATAAATACACGTAAAGAACTGTTTGGATTTATATTGCTTCACTGAGGAGCCAAAAAAAAACCCCAAACCATAAAAGGTTTGGGTTTTTCCCCTCTGATGAGATGTTAAGAAACAGGGGGAGGGAAAAAGTGGCTCAGAGAAACCTTATACCCTGGGACAAAAATTTAAATAACGTTTACGTGACAAAAGACATAAATGCAAAATATTTTCTAAAATAGCGATGCTTTGAGCATTTGGTCATTTTTAGGGCTTTGGCACCAGAGATCTGACCCACTGGAAACAGCTACTGATTTATTTCATCAGTCTCTTAAATTTGAAACCTATCAGTCGCCCCGTGTGCCTAAGGGAGCTTTGTCATTTTTCAGTTAGTTCTGATTTGCAGCCACATGTTCTGCCCCAAATCTTGAGGAAAAAAGTCAGAATAGTGATGAAACATACATTTTTCATTTTGCTTTATTGAGGTTCTGTGTTTTCATGGAGTTGCCGATTGCCTGCAGAGCTCTGCTATTTTAATGGGTATCCCGGTTAATGAAAGCTAATGGTCTTTAATGAAAATAAATACAAATCAAGGTTAAAATCAGTGTCTTAAATCAAGGTTTCTGCTTGGTGGTTTAAATCCTGTTTGGGATTGGTGACTGAAAGGTGTCAGAGTGAACAGATTGTTCGCATGGACTGAACATGGAGTTGGGGAGCGGTTGGCTCAGGACATGTGGATGTAGCTCCGTGTCTTGCATCATAAAATTAAAAGGTAAGTGGAGATTTTGGGTTTTTTTGTTTGTTTTTCCAGAGAAGTAATGAGTGTCTGATAATTAATTAACTTCTGTTGAAACAAATAGTTGAAGGTAACTGCTGATCATGTCGGAATCCTGAAGAATTGCGCGTTATGGGGATGAAATATCCTTTTGCCCATGAACTAAATTTCAGTAACTGCATGATAGTCACATGAATATTTTTTCTAATGTGATTAGGAAGCAACGTTCCAAACCTCGTACATCATGAGGCATCAGGAAATGGGGAAGACTCTGAATACTAATGATACTAAATCATGTA